AGGGGAATATATATTGCCATTTGATTTTTAATGAAGTCATAAGTCTCAAACAACCTTTCAAAAAACACATCCATAACATTTGTGCCACTATATAACTCTTCAGAAATAATCTTAGACTCTTTCACTACAACGAATGCAAATCCCGATGGAATATGTATATTGGAGTTTATAAAGCACTGAAAATCTGCATAAATTACAAATGGGGCTTTAAGTTGATATTTATAATTTGTAAATTGTAATGTATCTTGTTTAGACATTTCCACTCGTTGGACATCAAAGTTTTTACAATATGTTATATGACGCTCCAATTTATCTTTGGTGTAAAAATGTTGTAAACAAAACTTGCAAAAATGCTTTTTACTGTTATCTTTTGTTGACCGAAGCATTAACCTATTAAAATCACGAATTAAACAGTAATGTGATTTACGACCTTGTTGTAATAATAATAGATCTATATGAGTGTTACTATTCAGTTTGGTTCTTCTTAATGGATATATAAATTTTCGGTCTTCAACTCCAAATACATTAACACTTATATTATTTTGTCTTTCAAATTTATCTATATCAGATATTTTAACAGGATACTTTATGTTTGTCATATTTAACTGATTTTCATAGGGTGAATAGCTAGAGACTCTATTAGCATGTTTAGCATTCCTTGGATATAAAGCTGCTAAAATTGACCAAAGTAAGCATTTATTATCAACATTCTTTATATTTAAAACTGCATGTTTTGATTGAATACTTTTTGGTGTGGGAATGTATGACTTTGGAGTTAGGGGCTTATACTTGTAAACGTGCAACTGCCAATATTTAGTATAGTCATATATCCATCCACTACCTTCGGCTTGGTATTTGTGCATGGAAGTGTCAATCTTTAAAAGAGCATTTTCAATTTGATGCTTTAAATCTCTCTTCTCAATGGTTAGGATAGTAAGGCTTCTAAAATCTGCAATACATTCTTTCTCATTAACTAATTTTCCATTTTGATCTATTGTATATTTTATAAATTTGATTCTCCTTACTAAAGTCCATTTCATCGGTAGAGGACAAGACTGAAGAGTACTTTTAAGTTCAGTTTTAATCGATTCACCGACAAATTTAATCATTGTATATGGACATTTGTTACAAGAATTTACGTGTCTTTTAAAATGACCAACAACATTTCTTTTACAGAAATTACAAGTCTTGTGACTTTGTAATATATGAGATTTTAGAGCTATGTTACTATCACAGATTAAATCACATAGTTTACATACCTTCATTTGATGTATCAATTTGTAATGGCGAATAAGGTTGCTTTTTTTGGAGAGCGATGCGAAACAATGTTGACATGTGGTCTTCATTTTTATATATGAAATTAAAAAATAGGTTGGCATCTTTTATATAGTAGAAATTACATTTTTACAATTTAAATTAATGAGAAGTAATAATTCAAATCATAATTCTAAATTTTAATATTCCAAACAATTTTATACAATAATATTTGGCAAATATAATTTTCTAAATCAAAACTAAATTCTAAATCTTAAATAAAAACTCTTTTTAGCAGAATGCTGAGTCTACATTTATACAGAGTTAGTGTTAGTTATATAGAGAAGACTACCTATGAAAAAATTATATAGAGATTGAATTTCAGCTAAGTTTAAAAAAAATAACTTGTACACACTTTTGACTCAAAGTCCCCAGTGATTGAGATTCGGCTAAGTTTTAAAAAAATAACTTGTACACACTTTCGACTCAAAGTCCCCAGTGATTGAGATTCGGCTAAGTTTTGAAAAAATAACTTGTACACACTTTTGACTCAAAGTCCCTCAGTGATTGAGATTCGGCTAAGTTTTAAAAAAATAACTTGTGCAGACTTTTGACTCAAAGTCCCCAGTGATTGAGATTCGGCTAAGTTTTGAAAAAATAACTTGTACACACTTTTGACTCAAAGTCCCCAGTGATTGAGATTCGGCTAAGTTTTGAAAAAATAACTTGTGCACACTTTTGACTCAAAGTCCCCAGTGATTGAGATTCGGCTAAGTTTTGAAAAAATAACTTATACACACTTTTGACTCAAAGTCCCCAGTGATTGAGATTCGGCTAAGTTTAAAAAAAATAACTTTTACACACTTTTGACTCGCTTAAAAATAGTAATAACAAAATAAGGTTACATTTTGGATAGGAAAGCAGCATACAATTGACATGTAACTAAAAAACTAGGTTGACATCTTCTATATATAGTAGAAATTACATTTTAAAAATTTCATTTAATAAAAATAATAATTTTGAATACTAATTTTATATTTTTAATATTCATAATTATTTACACAATTAGATTTGGCAATTATAATTTTCTAAATCAAAACTAAATTCAACTAAAAGAACTAAAAGAAACTAAACTTCAAACTAAAAGAAATACAGAATATGAGTACAAGCATCAATTGGTCACAACCAATTGATCCCATGACCCGACACGCGACAATATATTAGGCCTACACTAGTCTAGCTTACATGTTAAAACAAGAAGATTCAGGTGATGAGCAAAGTGGTCCAGGCGGGCGAGGTGGTCCAGGCGAGCGAGGTGGTCCAGGCGAGCGAGGTGGCCCAGGCGGGTGAGGTGGTCCAGGCGTACGAGGTAGTCCAGGTGGGCGAGGTGGTCCAGGCGGGCGAGGTGGTCCAGGCGGGCGAGGTGGTCCAGGTGGGCAAGGTGGTCCAGGCGGGTGAGGTAGTCCAGGCGGGCGAGGTGGTCCAAGCGGGTGAGGTAGTCCAGGTGGGCGAGGTGGTCCAGGCGGGTGAGGTGGTCCAGGCGGGTGAGGTAGTCCAGGCTGGCGAGGTGGTCCAGGCGGGCGAGGTGGTCCAGGCGGGCGAGGTAGTCCAGGCGGGCGAGGTAGTCCAGGCGGGCGAGGTAGTCCAGGCGGGTGAGGTGGTCCAGGTGGGCGAGGTGGTCCAGGCGAGCGAGGTGGCCCAGGCGGGTGAGGTGGTCCAGGCGTACGAGGTAGTCCAGGCGTACGAGGTAGTCCAGGTGGGCGAGGTGGTCCAGGCGGGCGAGGTGGTCCAGGTGGGCAAGGTGGTCCAGGCGGGTGAGGTAGTCCAGGCGGGCGAGGTGGTCCAAGCGGGTGAGGTGGTCCAGGCGGGTGAGGTGGTCCAGGCGGGTGAGGTGGTCCAGGCGGGTGAGGTGGTCCAGGCGGGCGAGGTAGTCCAGGCGGGTAAGGTGGTCCAGGCGGGCGAGGTGGTCCAGGCGGGTGAGGTGGTCCAGGCGGGCGAGGTAGTCCAGGCGGGCGAGGTGGTCCAGGCGGGTGAGGTGGTCCAGGCGGGCGAGGTGGTCCAGGCGGGCGAGGTGGTCCAGGCGGGCGAAGTAGTCCAGGCGGGTGAGGTGGTCCAGGCGGGCGAGGTAGTCCAGGTGGGTGAGGTGGTCCAAGTGAGTGAGGATACGATAGAATCTCCCCCTTTTATACCCAAAAATTGTCAAAAAAAACCTGCCCCAGACAGACTGGCGCCAGACAGGCAGAGAAAATTAACAATTAGTTTTGATTGGGGTCATTGGGTTACACTCAGTCATTCATTAGAGTCAGGAGCGGGAGCATGGGGCAGGAGCCCGACCATAGCATGGAGCACGCCATGAGTCAAGAGCATGCCAAGAGCACGCCCGCGACCGGGAGCACGCCATGGGTCGAGAGCATGCCTAGAGCACACCCGCGACCAGGAGCGCGCCCGAGTTCGCGTGCCGAGAGCCGGGTCTTTAAAAAAGTGGCCAAAAAATGAGCCATATTCCAGACGTGTTTTTCAGTATTAAAAAAGTAGAAAATTTATATAGAGGTGTATAGGTCGAGAGCTGGGCCTTTAAAAAAGTGGCCAAAAAAATGAGCCACTCATTTTTCTCATTTTTCCCCTATAAAAAGTGCCCTAAAAGTGCCTCCAAAACGCCGAAAGTGGGGTATCTTTCTGGTATTATATCTACTAGATAGACAGCAGATAGTTTGTTTTGAAACAGATGTTGAGTTAAAACAACATTCATTTGAAAAAAGAACTTGTTATCTGTAGAAGGAATTTGAAAAAGTAAACACGCTAGTAAGTGTGTTGTTATTCATATGTGTTTGAAAACATATGGTGTTAGAATATTATTTGTTTAGTTTTTGTTGGTAAACATTCTGAATCTGGTTTATTATTGTAAAAAGCTACCTAATAAAGTATTTGTCTTATTAAAACTATATTTTAATTTAACTTGCGATAACACTACATGGTGGCAGCGGTGGGATCCGAACCCACGCCTCCGAAGAGACTGGTGTTCACGTCTTGTCATTGTCCCTAAAAAGGACAATTCAATAAGACTTTGCGTAGATTTTACTAAACTTAATGAGAGTGTTAAACGAGAACTATATCCTGTGCCCTCTGTAGACTACACTCTGGGACAATTAGATGGTGCTAAGGTGTTCTCGAAACTAGATGCTAACTCGGGTTATTGGCAAATACCCATAACAGAAGAAGCTTCATATTTGACTACTTTCATCACACCTTTTGGAAGGTTCAGATTTTTACGACTTCCTTTCGGGATTTCCACTGGTTCAGAAGTATTTCGGCGTCAAATGTCTGAATCACTTGAAGGCCTTCAAGGTGTTGTTTGCCATTTCGATGAAATAACTATATACGGGAAAGATATGGAAGAACATGACAAAAATTTACATCGTGTTTTGTGTAGGCTCCAGGAAAAGGGCTGGACACTTAATAGATCAAAATGTGTGTTCCGGCATGACAGTATCAGTTTACTAGGCCACCTTGTAACTAAAAATGGTATTAAGCCAGATCCCTCTCGTGTTGAGGCTATCCAAAAACTCAAGACGCCAACTAATGTTAAAGAACTAATGAGAATTCTAGGTGTTGGCAATTACGTATCCAAGTTTATTCGTAATTTGTCGACCATAGTTCATCCACTACATGCTTTACTGCAAAGAAATACAGAATTTGTTTGGGGGCCTGATCAAGACCAAGCTTTGGAAAAGATTAAACTGTCATTGATGTCCGAACCGTGTCTCGCTTTATACAGCATTTCTAAAGAAACCTTCCTCTCAGCGGATTCCTCGTCATACGGTATTGGAGTTGCACTAATTCAGGTTCAAGAAGATGGAACTAAACGTCCGATGGCCTATGCTTCGAGAAGTTTGTCATCAGCCAAACGTAATTGGGCTCAAATAGAAAAAGAAGCTCTGGCGATTGCTTGGGGGTGTGAACGGTTTGAACACCTCATTTTAGGGTTGCATTTGCATATTGAGACAGACCATAAGCCCTTGCTCTCCATATTCAAGATAAAAGACTTGGACAATATTACTCCCAGGCTTCAGAGAATACGACTCCGACTGATGAGATATACGTATGACATTACCTACGCGCCCGGTAAACAGTTGATTTTGGCTGATCCACTGTCTCGAGACACAGAGAACTCTGAAGAGGAATGGGAACTTACAGAGGAAATCCTTGCTTATATACAAAACATTGACACTACTCTACCATCAGTTTCGGATGAAAGGTTGCGAGAAATAAATCAAGAAACTATGAAAGATGAAACTCTAAAACATGTGTCACAGTATTGTGTGAAAGGTTGGCCAGAAAAATCTAAGATTCCAGAGGATGTATTGCCCTACTGGTATCATAGAGAACATATAAGTGAGCAAAATGGTATACTTCTCTTTGGAAGTCGTATTATAATACCAAATTCTCTAAGAGCTAATGTACTAAGAAGTATTCATGAAGGACATCAAGGCATAACAAAATGTAGATCTTTTGCAAAATTGACTGTGTGGTGGCCTCGTCTTTCTCAACAAATCAAAGAACTAGTAGAAAATTGCAAGACATGTGCAGAAAATCGCGCTACGAGAGCAGAGCCGCTGATACCAACCCCTTATCCGGATAGACCTTGGCAAATAGTGGGTACCGATTTGCTGAAGTGCAAAGGTCACTGGTATCTCTTAATCTCAGACTATTATTCCAGGTTTATGGAGATTGCTAGACTAAATGACTTAAAAATGGGCACTATTGTGACATATACAAAGTCCATCTTCGCACGTCATGGTGTACCTGAGACAGTGAGAGCAGACTGTGGTTCTCAATTTGACTGCTGTCAATTCAAACAACTTGGTCGTGATTATGGATTTAAATTGATTACATCAAGCCCAAAATTTCCACAAAGCAACGGCTTCATAGAAGCGCAAGTAAAAAAACTTTAAGTACCACTTAGAAAAAAGTTATGATCCCTACAAAATGCTACTTATGTTAAGAGCAACCCCTCTGGAAAATGGGAAAAGTCCAGCGGAATTACTTTTCGGGAGAAGGATCCACACTTATGTTCCGATAATGTCTGATCAACTAATACCCTATCTGGTAGACACTGAAAAGTTAAGGGAAAAGGAAGAAGCAAGAATTGATCGTCAAAAGATTTATTTTGACAAAAGACATAGAGCCACAGAATTGCCTACTCTACCTGATGGAGCTCAAGTCCATATAAAGGACAGGAATCAAGAAGGAACTATATTAAACAAACATCCTGCACCTCGATCCTATATAATTCAAACGCAAGATGGTTGTTTGCGGAGGAAAAGAAGATCACTGCAAAGATTTAGCACTACTATGCCTTCTGATCAACCAGCACTGCAGACCAGTCTCTCAGAAAACCTGAGAAGATCAGAACCATCGCAGACAAATCCTTTAGCGAATCTAAGAAGATCAACAAAACAATTCTAACCTACCCGGAGGTTCGATCTTTAAAGGGGAGATGTGTTGTTATTCATATGTGTTTGAAAACATATGGTGTTAGAATATTATTTGTTTAGTTTTTGTTGGTAAACATTCTGAATCTGGTTTATTATAAAAAGCTACCTAATAAAGTATTTGTCTTATTTAACTTTCGATAACACTACAGTAAGCTAGTGACGTATTTTTTCTATGTTTATTATTCATATCGTTATCCATTCTAATATATGTGATAATTACCCACTATCATTAAATCTACGTAAGGTGGGAGGCTATGGATCTGGGAAGTGGATATGAGTTTGATGTTCCAGATGGTATATATACAGGGGGGTTTCGGTTTAATATGTTTTCAACCTATATTTTCGAGGTGAGAAATTCAATGGAGCAAACGCCGTCCCTCTATCTAAGTGTCGTTTTCGTGTTAGAGGGGGGTATATGGATCTGGGAGTGGATGTGCCCTATTGTCTGTGATGTGCCCAATTGTCCATAACCTCCCATTTCACCAGTTGTTTGTCATGAGCAAGTAGACACTTAAAAATTAAACTATGACGATTGCATTTATAAATCTCAAAACACATACATTGTAGGCTACGGCCATATCCTTTTTAAGCTGTTTACTGACTTTCTAAAGCCATTATTAATGCCTATATCTGTGTCAAACTGTCCAAAACCTCATATTTCACCTGTTATTTGTCATGAGCAAGTAGACATTTTAAAAATTAAACTATGACAAACTTGCATTCATGAATATCATAACATAGGCCTGTAGATTGGGAAGCCATATTTCCTAAAAGCCGTTTGGTGACTTTATAAAGCTATTTTTTACGTTTAAAGTAGAACTTTGCCCAATTGTCCGAAACCCTCCCATTGCATACCTGTTATATATGTCACGCAAGGGATGCAAGCAAGTATAGACACGTTTTTTTTAACCTTACGTTTTTCTCCATTTCATAGATCTGTCACAATATGTATAGTGTATCAAATCACTGCCGCCTTTAACTCCATAAGACATAAGACATAAGACATGTATTCATCATTTTTACATATGTAATGCATAGACAGGTCAAATTGTCGGTAAATACATCTCGTATTCAGTCTTGAGTAAATAAATGTATAAATATATAAATAACAAGTAATTCAGTTAATACAGTCAATATAATACAAGAGTTAAAATTGAAATTGAGCGACGAGCAAATAAATACAAAAGTTACAGACCATGGCAAGAGATAAAAAAATTGACAGTAATAAATTTAGAAAATCGTGCAACTTATATCTAAATCACAGTTACATCCTATTTCAAATATTTTTTATTAACTTATCAGACATGCTAAAAAAATCTTCGATACGGTAGAGAGGGTTGTTTACTAGAAATAAAAACAGCCTTTTCTTAAAATTCTTAAAGTCTAAATCTGTCACAGCCAGAGGTAATTTATTTAATAGCCTGATACCCATCACAACATGTCCTGATCTTGTTTTTTCCAACCGTACCTGAGGCAGATCAATCTTTTTGCAGTTTCTGGTACTAATACTGTGCACTTCATTTCTCATTTTGTATTTAAAGCTATTCTTAAAAGTAAACAATAATAATTGATAAATGTATAAGTTAATGACGGTCAATATTTTTAATTCAATAAAAAGGGGTTTACAGTGTGCTTCACTATCCTCTTTACACATTATTCTGATGATTTTTTTCTGAGATAGAAGTACCTCGTGGATTTTAGGAGAGCTACCATAATAAATTAAACCATATGAAGCAATTGACTGAAATAGCGCAAAATAAGCAGATTTTACATAATCAAAAGGGACATAGTGCACTAATCTAGAGAACAAGAAAACAATTCTTGAAAGCCTATTTGTTAGTTGATCAATCTGCTGTGACCAGGTTAACTGTTTATCAATCAAAACACCCAAAAACTTAACATAATCTTGTGAATCAAAAACATCAGGTACTTTTCTTAAGCTAAATATAACAGATTTTGTTTTTTCATTGTTCAAGAGAAAAGAGTTTGCTGCAAACCAGTCTGAAATGTTACCAACTACATCTTTAACATGCAAACTTAATAAATCTATATCAGAACCATGCACAAGAAAGGTCGAGTCATCAGCATATAAATAGGTATCACAGAGAACATTATTAGGCAAATCATTTATCGATACTAAAAATAGAAACGGCCCAAGTATGGACCCTTGCGGGACTCCGCATACTACATTAGACATAGCTGACCGCTCGCCCTTGATACAAACCACTTGTCTTCGGTTGCTTAAGTAAGAATTTAATAGGTTAAGGGCAGCCCCACCGACTCCGTAGTGCTGTATCTTGCCCAAAAGCATCCGATGGTCGACGCAATCGAAGGCCATGCTAAGGTCGCAGAAGGTGACCCAAGCAAAGCCTCCGCCCTCAAGAACATCATGTATTTTTGCAATCAACACCCCAACAGCGTCGGTGGTGCAGCGCAACCTCCTAAAACCGAATTGTGATTCATAGGCCACGGGTGGTAGGTTAGTTGCGCAGATAATGACCCTAGGGCCATAAATAGGGAGGTTAGTTCCGCATTTGAATCTGGTGGGCCCAGTAACTTTAGCTGTTTTGTTTGGAAGCAGCTAATGGCATTTGTGTATTTACGAATGCTTGGTTACTGGACTATTAAATTATTGACTCCGCTTTAAATGTACAGGATATAGATTTTCAATTCATACTTGTTTTGTTTTTCAATTCCGTATGTTTTATTTTCAATTATTGAATAAATTTATGTTCATAAATTTAAATTTATTGATTCGTCTACACCATGTTCATTCCGTAACGGGATTTTAAGATCAATATATATAATTGAACGAATTGTGTTTTTGGCCTCTGGGGACATCAAAATGAAAAAGTAAATCGGTCCCGGGCCTAGGTCTTACCATGCCACCTACGGTAATAACTATACTTCCCTATAAATTCGTTAAAACACATTTGAGAATAAACAGTACTGTTCTGCTGCATTTTTTGGATGTACAACAGGCTTTTGACAAAAGGTGTGGCATGTTTGGACTTCTGTTTAAACTCAAACGTCTCTCCCCCACTCTTTGTAAAACCTTCTTAAATCATATCTGGAGTACCTCAGGGGAGTGTCCTTGGTCCCTTGCTATATTTGATATATACAGCAGACATCCCCTATGGTCCCCCAACGTCACAGTTGCTACGTTTGCTGATGACACCGCACTGTTGTCGAGTCATGTGGACGTGGACCCTCAAAAGTCGCTTTCATTAATCTGCAAGCTGCCTCTTGACTGAGCTCCAATATTGGCTTAAAAAGTGGAGCATAAAAGTTAACGAAAACAAGTCCAAACATATTGTTTTTACTCTGAGAACAGAGTGCAATCCTCCAGTAACCGTTAGCTTTAACGAAGGTAGACAGTGTTCAATTATCAATCAATTATCAATTATTTAAGATGGGGACGCCACTGTGTGCGTATTTTAACCCAAATATGAGTGAACGACGAGTGTAGGATGAGTGGCGCGATCTTGTAGTCTTGTTAGTGACTAAGGCCGACATTCCTTAGACACAGCTGTTAATTAATAGCCCATCACAGCTAATGGCAACTAAGGGAGGTACAGTTTATTGTGGAATCCGAACCACATTTTTTCCTTGTAATCAACGAATTGGTCTAATTATTAGGATAGTACTGCGGATAGTCGTAGTACTCACTAGCGCGGACGTTAATCCACAAATATTTAAATATTGTAAAATATTTAGGTCCAACTCTTGACAAAAAATTAAATTGGGAATCTCATATCTGGAGGAAGAGACAACAAATGGAATTAAAAACTCGTAAACTCAATTGGCTACTAGGTACGAATTCAAAATTATCATTGGCTAACAAAATTTTACCATATAAAGTTATGATCAAACCAATTTGGACATACGGAATTCATCTTTGGGGGACCTCGATGAAATCCGACATCGAAATTCTTGAACGATTTCAGGCTAAGATTCTGAGAAGAATTATTGGCGCACCCTCTGGTTCGTATCCAACACTACAATTAGGCATGACTTAAAAATTACATCAGTGAAAGTAGAAATTACAGACTTAGCAAAAAGTATCAAGAAAAATTAGAATATCATCCGAACAGTCTTGCCTTTAATATATTGGACAAAAGCCAGTGCATTACTAGACTAAAAAGTGTTGTACATGTGCTGGACCTAAGCTACAGATTTCTGTAAATATTTAAATGATTGACCAAATTTTTGGCAAGACTTGTTGTTGAACAGGTGCTTTGCTTCCTGCAATTTTTTATGTTAACTATTTTACTTATTGTTCTCATATTCGTTTGAACAAATTGTAAAATGAATTCTGATTTATTAAATTAAAATTAAATTCAAACCAATAAAGTGTGAATTAATGAGCTGATGACCTGTCTGCCATGTTATCTTATGACTCTAAACAACCCTACTTGCGACCTAGCCAATTCTACCAGGCCGCGGCCTGGAGTTAAAGGTGGCCGTGATCAAATTCAGTAATTACCATATTTACAGCATCCCATGTAGCACAGATGGTTGGGCCAACGTTGGCCAACTGTGGGACAGTTGGTCGATGGTTGGTTGGAGCTTCCACAACCAACCAACCGTTGTCCAACTGTATATCTCGTAGTTGGGCCAACCAATATTTACAACTGTGGACCAACATTGGTTCATTGTTAATGAAATACATTAATATGCATTGCTGGGTATCATACATCAAGCCAACCGTTGTCCAACCGTTTTTCACTCCGTTGGACCAACAAAAGATACTTTTGTTGGACCAACAATGGTCCATAGTTGAGTTTACACGACTTTCATTCTCTGGGTCTAGCTTTCACAACATAATTATAATAAAATATCTGGTTTTACTATACCTTTATCAGTTCCAAAAGTTTCCAAAAGTTTTTGGAACTGATAAAGGTATTGTAAAACCAGATATTTTATATATTACAGTTCCGGCGCTACAACAATGAATTTTAAATAATTTTAATAATGCAAATATTTTTTAAATTAATATTCTTTAACTTATTTGCAACAATTTAAGGGGAAAGAGTAATTAATCATATAACAGGCAATTATAATAGCATTAACAATCTAACGGTAATTAATTAATCTATATTCAAATACCAGTATCCTCTCTAACTCCAAAACTACTTATGATGCCTTAACAGATTAACAGAATCATATTATACTGTGTAGTATTAAAAATGTTTGAAGTATTGCGACCATTGCAACTGTCGGCTACTCTTTCACCACTTGAAAACTCTCTATATCAGCAATCACAGATAGCTCAGTGGTAATGTAAGAGGCTCATAAGTCGAAGGACCCGGGTTCGAGACCCGTCTGGGCCAAAAAAATTTTGTTCTAGTTTTTTTTCAAAATTTGTTTTTATGAACTATTTAATCAATTTACTCAACTAATAATTATGCTTTTCGTACTAAATCTTTATTATTTTGTGTGAAATAAAACGGTTGGACAATGGTTGGCTGGAAAACAGTTTAAAGAGGTGACATTTCTACCGTTGGCCAACTGTGTGGCTCCACAATTTACCAACGTTGGCCCAACCATCTGTGCTACATGGGCAAACACTAGTGTTTCTATAGTCAATAGTAATAGTAGTCAATAGTAAAAGGTGGTGCTACCACTGAGATGGCTGATGCCGGTGGTGTAAGGCTAGTAGTTAGCAGAAAATTCGACAACTCTATGTACTTGAAATCACACAGCTGTTAATTAATTGCCCATACAGCTAATGGCAACCAAGTGAACTAAGGGACCTACAGTTTATAGTGGAATCCGAACCACATACAAGTGACCAAGTGACTCAACACTCAACCATAGACTAACGTTTTATCTATGACTCAACTCAACAGTCAACCGTTTCAAAAATAGGGCCCCAGAACACCGACCTATCTATTTATTTCTATGAACCAGGACAGGACCACTAAATAAATGGACAAGGAATGGAACTGGAAAGTGTGAACGTCGTGAAATTATTGTTCCTCTGAAATCGAAGAAGTATGACGTCAAAGAGCGTCCCGTGAGCCTTGCAAGAACTGGACCCGGCGGTCGGTGGAATCGGCACACGGGAGGGACTAAGGCTAAAGGTGTAGTGACGTCATATCTCTAGTAGCTAATGTCATAGATTAAACATACTCCTCCTACTTGAGGAGTATGTTTAATCTATGCTAATGTCTACTCTTGAGGCAACACGATTACCGTACGAAACGATGTGATTTCAGCGGCGTTCGTGGCATAATTGATAGCGTATCGGATTGGTGTTCTGGAGGTCCCGGGTTTGAATCCTGCTAGCAGCACTAACTTTTTGTCAACAAATTTTTTATATCAGCAAGTTTGGTTGGTTAGGTTAGGTTATGACAGTTTGATTTTATGATACTAAATTTTAAAATTAATTTTATAATTAATGTTATAATTAATTAAAAATTATAAGTAATCATTAATTCGATTTTTATCTTATACAGTTTTTATATTATCATCAAGTCTGGTTGGTTAGGTTATGTTATGACAGTTTTATTTTGAAAAATAAAAATTTATTTTAAAAACAATATTTGATAATTAAAAAGTTAATTTTATAAGTAAATACCCCCGCTGCAGCAAACCTGCCGACTAAGCGAATTTCCATTTGTCTGAATTGATTTTCAGTTAAATATATTTTAATAACATTAGGTTTAACGAGTACCTAGGTTTGCTGCTACAAGGAAACTAATAAAGTGTGTTTTTGAGTAAAATATTGTTAGCTTAGTACAAAATAAATAAATTTGCCAAGTTTGATCAAAATATATTCATAAACAAGCAAACTACAACATTTGACAATATTCTCCATAAGAATAACATGGGAATTTTAAATTTACAATTTTTTTAATGTTCTCCGTTACTAATAATCGAACAAAAATACTTTTAAATACTAAATTATTTGTTTTTTTAAGCTCTTTAAAAAGGTCTAAAGAGAAATTGGGAAATTTTGTGTTTTGAGGGGCAAAAGTGAGAAAAACCAATTTTTACCCCATAAAACCCCCCGTAAAGCCCCGTTCCCATGGTCCGATCGTGCTGGTTCGCGAACTCATTCAAGTTTATCCCGCTTTACACCTTTAAACCAAATTTCATCAAAATCGGACAAAAATTACTCAAGTTATCGCGTTCACGGACGTATATATATATATATATATATATATATATATATATATATATACATATATAAAAATTTGAACGAATGATGTTTTTGGCCTCTGGGGACATCAAAATGAAAAAGTAAATCGGTCCCGGGTCTAGGTCTTACCGTGCCACCTACGGTAATAGCTACTTCCCTATAGGGAAATTCGCTAAAATAAAATAAAAAATTAAATTTTTTCAACTTAGCGGTTCTAGCGGCGAACGCTGGCACTACAAGATATGTTAGCCTTAGTCCCTCCCGTGTGCCCCACCGGGCAATCGGTGGTACGGCTAGCGAAACGGCACACGGAAGATTTCTCAGGTGCCGTTTGACGTCACTAACTGCTGACATCTGACATCACTTTGAGGGAACACCAATACCGCAACGATACGGTATTGAGCCATTGGCCTCGGTGGTGTAATGGATAGCGTTGCGGGCTGATAAACCGAAAGTATCGGGTTCAAATCCCGCCGGCGGCACTAACTTTTTATCAGCAATTTTTTTCACATCAGCAAGTTTGGTTGGTTTGGATAGGTTATGACAGTTATTTTATAATTGAAAAATTATAAAATTGAATTTTAGGCATTTATAATTTTATTTTATTAACAAAACTATTTTTTTTTATTAGTAAACCTTTATTCGATTTTTCCATTATCAGCACGTTTGGTTAGGTTATGAAAGTTTAATTTAATAATAGAAAATTATAAAATTGTCTGTTTCTTCAGACGCAGCAGTTAGTGACGTCAAACGGCACCTGAGAAATCTTCCGTGTGCCCCACCGGTACAGCTAGAGCTAACTAAGGATAGCGCTGGGTTCACAACGATATGGTAGGCATTCGGTTAAATATCGAGCTTGTTTTCTACCGGATGACAGACATCGACTTTTTAGACGAGACCTTCAGACCTAGACCACCGACCTACGGCTGTTCAACGTATCGTTGCGGTCACTGAGCTAGCGGTAATGGTGTTCGCTCGAGCAGTGGTGGGTGGTGGTGGGCGGTGGCGGTCTGTCGGCAAGGGTTAATCTTTTACGAATCGGCTCTGGCTCACCGGCTGTCTCATGGTGGAAGTAAACTATTGCCTTGGTGCCTTCTGCTGCAGCTGCTCCTAGCTCATATGTCTGTCGTCAAACGTCATAATGTGGCCTTGACGACGGAAGGCCATAATTTAATTCACAATCAGTGAGAGTGAATGCAAATAAATAAGTACAACATAATATCTGAACCTGGCATAAAATTTGCCAATGAAAATGTTTATTATCCAATTACAGTAAGGCTAATAACCAGCATGATGAATATATAAGAACTTAAATTACGGAGGAATTTTAAAATTAATATTCCAGTAACTTGCGCAATTAACGCCAGATAAATTACCGCCCCCCCCCCGCCCCTTACTTTTAAAAGCGTTTAGATGCCTTGTTTTTTTGTTGGTGCCTTTGCAGGCACCATGAAACTGATCAAAAGGAACAAAGTTGGAATAAATTAAATAACATAATTAAATCAAATATGTTCCTCTTCTTTTAGGCTAGTGCTAGTAGTTTTTGTTGTCTCTGTCCTCTTTCTTCTGTCTGTCGGTGTAGGTTGGTTTGGTTTTTTTTACAATCTGTCTTACATTAAACAATAACATTGATACGATGACATTTTTATAAATAAAATAAAAAATTGGAAAACATGAGTTAGCAGCTAAACTCGTTTGTTCACGTTTTGGTTGGTTGGTTGCGCTCGCAATGGAAGCCAATCGATTTACGATATTCGATATAGTAGTTGTTTTCATACTACGATGATCGATACTTAACCGTATGCCTACCATATCGTTGTGAACCCAGCGCTATCCGCTAACTAAAATGTAAACAAGAAAAAAGGTTTTGGCCGTTTTAACTTTAAGGTTATGTTTAATTTCAGTTTACACATACAGTAGGGAGTAGGCCTACAAACGAAACAAGTACACTGAACTGACTGTAGGCCAGGCTACTGTCTGCTATCGTTCTTTCTTGTCTCTGTCACTGACACTTTCACGGTCAACTGTCAAGTCAGTGTTAGATCACACTAGTAGTATAGTTAGTTATTAGTTTTACTAAGTTTTTTTTTTATTTAGGTGTTCTTTCTTTATCGTGGTCTTCTGTTTACACTTAACGTTGACCTAGGCCAATACCTTCCATCCCTATTAGGCACCTAACTTTCACATCCCACATTTAAATCATCTTCAGAATAGGTCTAATATGTTGTCAGTTCCAGAAGATAAAATAAATGCAATTGGTCGTGTTCTGAACGACCCAAAAAGGCCTCTAAAGGAAAGATTCAGAGCATTATTCACGTTAAAGAATATTGGAGGAAACACTTCAATAGGTTATATTAAAGATTGTTTTATGGACCCATCGGCACTTCTAAAACATGAATTAGCATATTGTCTTGGGCAAATGCGAGATAAGGAAGCTTTACCAATTTTGCTACAGATACTTGAAGATAAATCTCAAGAAGCTATTGTAAGACATGAAGCAGGTAAGCTTAACTTATGTTAGTTGGTAAAAGATGTGGCTTCGGCTTGTTAGTTAAGGCCCGCCGAACATTGAAGCGAGGCGAAGTGCAGGCGGGAGCGAGGACTATTTCGTGTCACCACACATTGAAGCGAGGCGGATAGAGGTTTCCTAGCTTTGGTCGTACTTTCGGGAGTAGAGGACGATTTTTTTATGTTACCTGATTCTGATTGTGAGTTGAATAGTTTAGTTTTAGCCTACTCTTAAGTATTCCCTATCCGAAAAACGTAAAAATGTTTTTGCAAATGTGATTAGGCTACATAAAAAAAGATTAAGCCATGGAGAGAATGTTTTAACTACGGTAACTGAACTGCCAGACCGGTCTATTAGAGAATATTTTTGTGTGAACAAACAACAGTTTGATGATTTCCATAATTTTATTGAAAGTGGCATTAGCGAAAAGGAATGCAATGCTCAACAACATAAGTTATAGCCATCTGAATTCAATGCTCCATTCCTATATCGGTTATAATTCCGTATAGGTGCCTCCAAATGAATTTTTAATTTTGATATCTTACTTTATAGTTTTTTACCTCCTGAATCCAAATATAGATCTACCATTATTTTTCACAGCTGATGGATATTTCTCAAGATATCGCCGTAATAATATACAACATTACAATAAACAAGGTAGGATGGATGACATTTACAAGTGGAATGAACTATGGGTTAAGTAAACCAACAGCTGATTGTTTTCAATCATAGTCAAGCAAATGTAAGTGTCAACTTTAATTAGCTAACTCTGATTCTGCAATATGAAAATCACCTGATTAAGTTACACTTTTCACTTTCTAAGACCAATAAGTTATTAATGTATTATTGTTACCAGTATTTTATCCTTATTGATACCGGTACATTATTGATTTATATTTCGCCGTTTAGAAATTACATAATAAAATGGTGCTATTCTAACATAACCTAACCTAACCAAACCTCTAGAATGTAAGCAAACTCCTTTTGATGTCAGAAAAGGCATGTCAGGGTGGTAGGTCGTGCTTTATGTGAATTGGCGACTGCATTAAGTCCTTTGAAGGTAGGTTAGATTAGGTAAGTTAAAGTTTAGGAAATAATGTATCGAGTTGTTAGTTTATGTTGCCTGCAGACTGTTTTTGTAAAATTAAAATCCTGAGAAAAACACTTCAAATTACTTTTTCAAAAATGCTTGCATTTTTGAAATAGTACCTTCCTAATCTAACCTAACTTCAAAACACTTAATGCAGTCACCAATTCACATACAGCACGACCTACCACCCTGACATGCCTAAACAAGAACTACACAAGTAATTAGTCTACCAGTCCATCTATATCTCCATAATGTGACGAAATTCCTATTATAGAGAACATGTTATTTGACTACAAGAATCACTTGAAATGTTATCCATCCTATCTTGTTTATTGTAATGTTAAGTATGTTTTTACGGTGATATCTTGATAAATATTCATCAGCGGTGAAAAATAATGGTATATTTGAATTCAGGAGGTAAAAAACTATAAAGTAAGATATCAAAATTAAAAATTCGTTTGGAGGCACCTATACGGAATAAATACCCTTATATCTTTCACTCACAAAACACTAGAAAACCAACGCAGGCGCAAGCAAAGTGCAGGAAAACTGTATTCCAACTACAACGCTGCGGAGGCCTGACAGAGGCTGCAGCTGTGCTGCCTCTGCTCAATGTGCGGTGCTCCATTTAAACACGTGTATTGCAGAATCATCCTTGCCTTACCTGCACCTCACCTCGCCCCAATGTGCGACGGGTCTAAAGCAGGAAACCCACTAGGCCCAATAGTCTGTGGCCTACCACTCCTTTCTGGCTCCGAAGCCTACTGCCCTTTTTTTAGGTAATAACCCTTTGGTCTGTCGGACTCAGCAACCAAAGATGAATACCTAGGCCTAACTTACTAAATAGTCGTGAGGAGTTATTTGTGCAGCCACGTTGTTTTTGTACTAACTATTTTAAGTTTTAGCCTAACTATTTTTGTATGGTGTGTTTTCACCTGGTGTTAAAGAAGTCCAAAACAATAACTTAATTATGTTAATATCCAAACCTTTAAATAATTGTTCCTTGTATGGGGAGCATACAAATTCAGCGCTCGTTGGGGATTTTGTCTAGTTTTTCAAACACACAATTTTTTTTCCTAGGACGCTAGGCATGAGCCTGGGATTGTTTTTCACATTACTTCAGGCATTATCACTTAGATAAAATCCATTGGTGACTTGGCGGGGATCGAACCCTGGACCTCAGGGACTGAAGTCCCACGCTCTAACCACTAAGTACGCCAGCTCGCTCCCCATACCACGTTGAATATACCGGTTCTCAAACACACAATAACTTAGGCCTACCACCTGATATTATAGGCCATTTATCAAACTTTTCGGTACTTTGGTAAAAACTTATACAAAAGCCACTTATTTTACAGCGTGCTGCGGTATTTAGGCCTAAGTTATGTAAGTTTGGGTTATCATAAATTTGTTTTGAAGGACTTTCCTCGTTTCGTTATGAATCAAACGATACCTGATGAGTCGTAGGCTACTTTCTTATGAATACCCAACCTAACATAACCGCCACAGTGCGCTGTATTAGGGTGGCCTCCGTATAATACCAAAGTAAGTTACAAATTCACTCTTTTTCCCCATATTGTCCTTCCTGTTGTCAAAACTCCCTAACTGCTTTAATTAAAAGTTCGTCTACACTCATATCACACATGAAGCTTGACAGTGAAAGACTAAAGCTTAGTGGCTATATTAGCAAACGGAAGGAGAAGGGACGGAATGGTACGAAAAGGATCAGAGCGGACAAATGGGTTACAGTTCCTTTTTAGCCTTGCAAAGCAATTTTGAGGGAAGGCAACGGAGACTGAAAGGAACAGAAGGCGAAGGAATAGTGGGTTTCCTGCTTAAAAAGAGTTATTCATATCTGTGTACAGTAGGCCTACCGGTACTTGTGAGTACAGTTCTGCAGAGAACCTGTGATACATTGTCTGATTAATTAGGCCTAATCATAGGCCTATATATCAACTTTAACCCTCCAACTGGCAGCGCGACTATAGGAGTCGCTGTAGGTGGTTTCTGTAGTGGCAGCGACTATAATAGTCACGTTTTGCAAGACTTTGGTTAAATCCAATTAAATGATTTCGATTGTAAAATGGAATAAGTTAACTGTTATACCTTTAGAAAGATAAGATTCTAAACTTACACTTTGTTACATAGATGAACTTGATCTCAAAATATGATCACTGTAATTAGGCACTAAGGTGAACAAAAATTTCAGTTGCACCATGTACAAAACTGCCAAACATGGTTATTTTCAAAAAAATATCGAGGGATATTTTTTGTCTACAAAGAAACGAGTGGTACCACTGCAATAAGGAAGAATTTTCTTATAAGTTATTATGGTACAAACATAATTTTGATATAATTACCTACATATGATCTCACAACAACAAAAACAAATCAATCAATCTTTACGTGTTCGTGAAGTGTCAGAGCGACTAAAATAGCCGCAGTCGTAAAACACGTTTTATTCACTAAAATATATAATTATCCATATGATAAATTATCTCATTTGAAAGTCCATGAAATTCCGTATATATTTGATTGTTTTATATTGCGCCACTGGGGCTGAAGTTATCAGCTATTACTTTTCGATTTACATCATTAACCTTTCAATCTTACAACGGCTGCTATTTTTGACTCATTGAGCTCAAATTTACAGTATTGTATTCTACTAATAGGCCTAAAGACCAATTTGATGTGACCTATGCTTACATTTATAATTTTTTCCCGACTTGTAGCTTAAACAGCCCTGTGGAGACACAGTCTTGACTTATTTATTTCCTTGCACTTCTAGGGATAGCATAGGGCCTCGACGAACACTCTCCAGTGGTCCCTTTGGTTGGCCAGCTCCTTTGCCTAGCCCATGTCATACCCTGACTCTGTAACTCCCTCTCCACAGTCCGCCTCCACATGGTTCTTGATCTGCCCTTTCTTCTGTTTCCTTGAGGATTCCATTCCAGGGCTTGTCTTGGGACTATCTTCGCTAGAGATTACTTCAGGCTACCACACCCTGAGAATGGTTCGTAAACATATATTAACACAAGTCTGCAGTTTGCGTATGCTCAAGTTTGTCACCCTCCATGTCTCACTGCCGTAGGCCTAAAGGACTTCCTCAGAGACTTTTTAGTTTGAGTTCAAGATTCTGAGTTTAGTTTTCCTCTTATTTCAGAGCTTCTCCAAACTGTCCTCAGCAGGGCAAATGCCACGCTTGCCTTGTTCAAGCGATTTTCAATGTCCAGATCAGTAGGCCTACCTCCTCCTTCAGTCAGCATTTGCTTAGATAACAAAATTCATTGGCCTGCTCAAAATCATCCTTGCCCGTTCTGAGGGGAGTGTTGTTCCGGTTATTTAACCTCATTTCCTTGGTTTTCTGGCATTTATTTTGAAGCCCACCTGCTGTGGTTCTACTCTTAGGTCGTTTAGTCTAGCTTCTATATCTCTGAAGCTTTGGGCCATAATGCAAAGATTATCAGCAAAATCCAGGTCTTCAAGCCTTGAATTGATCTCCTACAGGATTAACCCGTTACGGTTCATCGCTTCCTTCATTACTAGGTCTAGAGTCATAAGAAAGAGAATAGATGATAATAAACATTCTTGTTAGACTCCGGAGTTACAGGTTATTGGCTCTGACAAAGACTTGCAGTGCTCTACTTTGCAGGAGTAACTCTCATACGTGGCTTTTACAAGCCTTTTCACCTTTGGAGGCACTCCGAAAACCTTCATTGCTTTCCACATATTCTGTCTGTTTTGATCGAGTCAAAAGCTTTCTCAAAGTCAATGAAGACCAGATACAATGCAGCTTAATGTTCTAAAAACTGCTCCAGAATTATTCTCAATGTAGTTACACGATCAACATCAGATTTGTTCTGCCGTAATTCCGCTTGTTCCTTTCTAATTTGTTCTTTTCGGCTGTTTGGTTCTATTTAAAATAATCAAGCAAGGATTTTACTACAAACAGGAAGAGCATTATACCCCTCCAGTTGTTGCAGTTGGAGAGATCACCCTACTTAGGAAGCTTTATCAAGACACCTTTTTTCTATTCATCTGGTATTCTTTCTGAATTCCATATACTGACCAAAAGAGGATGTAAAATGTGGATTGATAGAACTGATTCTACTTTAAAGGCTTCAGCTGGGATGTTATCGATGCCGGGTGCTTTTCCGGGTTTTATTTCTCGTACTGCCTCCTTTTTTCTAACCCTGGCGGTTCTATAGATACTCTGGGATATGGGATTACTCTTTATTTCCCTATTTCTTCATAATTCTTATTTACTTCTATACCTCCTGCAACATTCAGGACTTCTTGAAAGTATGCATGCCATCTCCTAATTTGTCCTTGTTCTGAGGTAAGAATTTACCCTTCCTTATCCTCAACTGGTTTAACCCGTCTAAAATGTTTCCCTGCAAGCTGTTTAATGATCTTATACAATTCTCTGGAGTTTCCAACATCGGCTGCTGTTTGAGCTTCTGCTGCCAACTGGTTAATGAAGTCCCTCTTAGCACGTCCCAATCTTCTTTCAACTCTATGGTTTGCTTCATTGTATTCTCTCAGGGCTTCCTTAAATGGTGATAGTATGCCTTTCGTCTTCTTGTGCGGCTGTTATTCAACACTGCTTTCCTATGCCGCCCTTCCATCAAGATATTCCATGATTCCTCTGTTATCCACTCTTAACGCCTTACATCATCTTGGAAGCCTAAATACTCTTCACATTGTCTCCTTAAGTGTATTCCTTATGTTTCTCCATTGGCTTTCTGTGTCCTCCTTGTGCAGCCAGTAACTCCTGAAATCCATTCCTTAGTTCTATTGTAAAGCGTTCCTTTACTTCTCGATTCTTGAGCTTGCTGGTGTCAAAATGTCTTTTTCCTCCAAATGTCTTTCCAAATTTAACTGCAGAAATCTTAAGACGTATTGTTGCAATCAGAGATGGTGGTGATCACTTCCTATATGGGCTCCTCTCTTATTTCTCACATCCATTAGAGATCGCCTTCATTTTCGGTTTGTTGCAAAGTGGTCTGTCTGATTTTCTGTATGTTGGTCGGGAGACACCCGTGAAACCTTGTTACATGTTTTGTATGGGAAAATTTTCCCTGGAATAACCAAGTTGAATTCTGTACATGTTTCTACAAGTCATTCCCCATTCTCACTCACAATGCCAACTCTATGCTTGCCCATAATTAACTCTCTCTCGGCATTTTCACTCCCCATTTTAGCATTAAAGTCTCCCATCAAAAATATTATGTCTGTGGTTATTGAGGTTATTGTAAATGATTTCTTTGAGTTTTATTTCAAAAACATATGTTTTGTAATTATTTGGTACCTTTTCATTCATAGATGTTATATTTTCTTACTAGCAGAGTACCTGTACTTCGTTAAATGTTAAATGTTAAATTATGGTCCATGGCTCATTTTAAAATTGTCAGATTTTGTTTAATGATCAATAAAATTAAAGCCAAACATTTACTGAGTAATTTGAGACCAGAAAGAACTCGGTGACGTATTAACAACCCGAGTTATAAATCTTTTAATACAAATATATTTCTAAAAAGTTAAATTTAATATTGTTCTGAGGTTTGTAGCAGGTCTTTAACTCGTCTGATTTTAATGATCAAGAGCTCAAATGAAAGCCCTTACATTACTGAATATTTTAAGCCTAGAACGAACTACAAGCGTTAATAAGAACTGAAGATATAAGAAAAATAATTTTAAAAAAAATATCAAACTACGAAACGTCCATAAGAAATGTATGGTGCAGAGTTTTCTTTTGTATATATCTTCTAAATGAATAAAGATATTTAAAAACGGATTTCGGCATTGAAATCAGTGTAAAAATGTAGTTGGTAATGATGTGTCACAACACTATCATTACATTGAAAAAAAATTATCTATGTCCAATATGGCGGATCCAAGATGGCGGCCAAAAACATGTTCCCTATCAAAATGAAGTACTAACCACTCAATAAATACAGGCGGTGGTCCCAAGTCAATATCTCGAAAAATGTGCATAACAAATACATGTGAAATATGTTTTTTTAATTTGTCCAATGTTGAAAAAAGCCGCCATTTTAAATTGTGATTTTAGTGGTTTTCTCGTGCACCGATTTTTGGCAACTTTTAGTATGTCATTCTGCAAACCCAACTCTACAAAATAAAACCATAAAACGTTTTCTTGCAATTTTTTTAAGGTCATATCCTATATTTACCCGACTAATGGTAGAGAACCGGTTTAAGAAAATTGGATCTTTTAATTTACGGTATGCTATAGTATAGCACATCTACCATAGCCATAATGTTCTACCACTGCACCTAAACAATAGAAAAAAAGTAAAGTTTGCATTGTATATCACAGCTTTTTGTTGCTAGTTGGTTCATAATTGATAAAAAAATTATGCTGCAACCTGTTGGTAAACCTTATAACTTTTTAATGCTATTTAATATCATAGAACCAACTTGTATAGTTGAAACAGCTGACAAAATTCTTTAATTCCTTTTAATTATGAATACTCATAAGGTTATCATGGGAAACTTTAGAGCCACTGGGGTGGAGCCCGAAAGGATTTTTGAGATAGAATATGTCTATATATTAATCGGGAATGTGAGCTATCACCATACCAAATTTCAGCCCAATCCAACCAGTAGTTAATGTTTGATTGATCTTCAAATAAACAAAGACAAACATTCACATTTATAATATTAGTAGGACTAATGTAATAAATCTTATAAAATGGTCATTTATGGTATTCATTTATCACTGTTCAACCACATATATCTCTCTTTTTGACATTTCTTAGTGCAACACTGAGATGGCCGTAGAAGTCATCTTTACTTTCATTATCAGTTGTCTCGGTTGGGGCATAGCACTGAATAATAGTGATGGGTCTCACTCTGGAGTGGAACCTGGCTATTATAATCCTGTCAGATACTGGTCGCCATGATAAAAAGCTTTTCTTGGCATCTTTTCACATCAATATCCCCGCACCACTTCCATGCGCCTCCCCCTCTTCTCTTCCAGAATAAAGCAGCTTCCTTCTTCCAGCTGTGTTTCCCCATAGCCTGTCCATATAGTTTCACTGATTTCTAGGATTTCTAATCCATATCTGTTCAACTTAGCAACCTCTTATTAGCTATTGAGTAACTACTCGTAAATCACTTCACTGTTTAGGCTACATTGTTTTCCCTTGCTAATGAAATTTATGTCTCCTTAGCTGAAGCTGTTGGAGCGATAGCACCAATTGGAGATAACCAAATCAGAGAAACTTTAAAAAAATATAGTCAAGATACTGTTGTAGAAGTGGCAGAAACATGCCAGCTTGCCCTTCAAAGGATAAGTTGGTTTGAGAAAAACTGTGATAATGACTGTGTATCTCCCTACAACTCTGTGGATCCAACACCACCGAGTCAAGAGGAGGATGTAACTCGTTTGAGAGCAATCTTATTGGATGAAAACGAGAGTCTGTTTGAAAGATATCGAGCCATGTTTGCGTTGAGAAACCTCAATTCAGATGCAAGCATCTCGGCCTTATGTGATGGTAATGTTAGTAACTAGGCTACGTTAATCGCACATTTGATCATTAGGGTACCTACTATATATTTATATAGAGTTAAATTTTTTTCTATAGGAAGAGCAGTTACCTACAGTGGGTGTTCTCAATAGGAAACACATTAATTTATATACAAACATGATGATGTATTTTACAGTCACTGGCCACTTTGACCATCACAAAGAAATAAATTTCATTTCATTATTACAGTATTATGAAATACTTTTTAAATATAAGCTAGGCCTACATAAAAATATAATATGTATAGAACATTATATATTGCCAAACTCTATTATGTTTAGGGTGTCCACCGACCGGGAAAACCGGGAATTATGCGTGAATTTTGTATCTAACCGGGAACTTTTTACCGCGATCGGGCATGAGGACGATGACGTATCCGTGACCGCGGGAGACGACGATGACGTTTCCGTGACCGCGGGAGACGACGATGACGTTTCCGTGACCGCGGGAGACGACGATGACGTTTCCGTGACCGCGGGAGACGACGATGACATTTCCGTGACCGCGGGAGACGACGATGACGTTTCCGTGACCGCGGGAGATGACGATGACGTTCCCGTTACCGCGGGAGACGACGGCGACGATCCCGTGACCGCGGGAGACGACGGCGACGATCCCGTGACCGCGGGAGACGACGGCGACGATCCCGTGACCGCGGGAGACGACGGCGACGATCCCGTGACCGCGGGAGACGACGGCGACGATCCCATGACCGCGGGAGACGACGGCGACGTTTTCGTAACCGCGGGAGACGATGACGACGTTTCCGTGACCGCGAGAAACGACGATGACATTTCCGCGACCGCGAGAAACGACGATAGCGTTTCCGCGACCGCGGGAAACGACGATAGCGTTTCCGTGACCGCGGGAAACGACGATGGCGTTTTCGTGACCACGGGAAACGACGATGACATTTCCGTAACCGCGGGAGACGATGACGACGTTTCCGTGACCGCGGGAGACGACGATGACATTTCCGTGACCGCGAGAAACGACGATAGTGTTTCCGTGACCACGGGAGACAATGATGATATTTCCGTGATCCCGGGAGACTACGATGACGTTTTCGTGACCGCGGGAGACGACGATGACATTTCCTTAACCGCGGGAGACGACGATGACATTTCCTTAACCGCGGGAGACGACGATGACGTTTTCGTGACTGCGTGTGACGACGATAACGTTTCCGTGACTTCGGGAGACGAAGATGACGTTTCCGTGATCGCGCATGCGCACGATGACGTTTCCCTGACCACGTGAGACGATGATGTTGTCCAAACGGCCGCGTTTAGTGATTTTGCCGCGATAACGCATGCGGACGATGACGATTCTGTGACCGCGGGAAACGATGTTGACGTTTCCATGACCGCGGGTGACGATGACGATGTTTCCGTGATCGCGGAAGTCGACGATGACGTTTCCGTGACCGCGGGAGACGACGATGAAGTTTCCGTGATCGCGGGTGACGATGACGACGTTTCCGTGACCGCGGGAGACGACGATGACATTTCCGTGACCGCGGGAGACGACGATGACGTTTCCGTGACTTCGGGAGACAGTGGTGATGTTTCTGTTACTGAGTGAGATATTCAGGATTTTTCAGTTATCGCAGAAAATGATGATGGTGTCTCTACGACTGTGTTAGATGATTACAACATAACCTCGAGTTTGGCTTGACCAACAATTTCAAAATGGCACACTTATAGAAAGTTTTTTTATTATTTTTTGGTAATATCTTCACCTTTAACGTGGTACGAGGTATTAGCCTGTCCTACGTACGGGAATTCAGTAGTCAGTTAAAACCGTGTACAATTCAGATCTGTTCACATGTAGCAGGAATATAAAAAGTAAACACGCTACGCTAGTAAAGCTAATGACGTAATTGTCAATGTTTATTATCCATACCGTTATCAGTTCTATCCTTGATAATTACCCAACCTCATTGAATAAATGTACATCGTAATTTCCCATATTAGTTAATTTCAACTACAATATATTCATAGTTGAAATAAAAGTGATATTTTCACGTTTGGGGGCGCTGATATAGGTGCCCCCAAACGTAACCACAACTGAACCCGATTTCATAAAAGGATGGTTTGTCTAATTGCAGTATCCAATGATGATATTTCCGTGATCCCGGGAGACTACGATGACGTTTTCGTGACCGCGGGAGACGACGATGACATTTCCTTAACCGCGGGAGACGACGATGACATTTCCTTAACCGCGGGAGACGACGATGACGTTTTCGTGACTGCGTGTGACGACGATAACGTTTCCGTGACTTCGGGAGACGAAGATGACGTTTCCGTGATCGCGCATGCGCACGATGACGTTTCCCTGACCACGTGAGACGATGATGTTGTCCAAACGGCCGCGTTTAGTGATTTTGCCGCGATAACGCATGCGGACGATGACGATTCTGTGACCGCGGGAAACGATGTTGACGTTTCCATGACCGCGGGTGACGATGACGATGTTTCCGTGATCGCGGAAGTCGACGATGACGTTTCCGTGACCGCGGGAGACGACGATGAAGTTTCCGTGACTTCGGGAGACAGTGGTGATGTTTCTGTTACTGAGTGAGATATTCAGGATTTTTCAGTTATCGCAGAAAATGATGATGGTGTCTCTACGACTGTGTTAGATGATTACAACATAACCTCGAGTTTGGCTTGACCAACAATTTCAAAATGGCACACTTATAGAAAGTTTTTTTTTTATTTTTTTGTAATATCTTCACCTTTAACGTGGTACGAGGTATTAGCCTGTCCTACGTACGGGAATTCAGTAGTCAGTTAAAACCGTGTACAATTCAGATCTGTTCACATGTAGCAGGAATATAAAAAGTAAACACGCTACGCTAGTAAAGCTAATGACGTAATTGTCAATGTTTATTATCCATACCGTTATCAGTTCTATCCTTGATAATTACCCAACCTCATTGAATAAATGTACATCGTAATTTCCCATATTAGTTAATTTCAACTACAATATATTCATAGTTGAAATAAAAGTGATATTTTCACGTTTGGGGGCGCTGATATAGGTGCCCCCAAACGTAACCACAACTGAACCCGATTTCATAAAAGGATGGTTTGTCTAATTGCAGTATCCTAGGTCAATACAATGTTGACGTTGTATTCAATCTATGTCATCCATCTGTTTATCTTTGTATAAAACCCGGCTGAGGTTGTGGTGGTAATTTAAAATCGTGATTCCTGATTATTCTTGATCTTCTTTTCATGACATCAATATTTCCAGGCCTAATCCAATTAAAGTTAAAGCAGACAAACATTAATTGTAAACAAAAAGCTACCATGAAGAATTAAAACATGTAAACATTGTTATTTTTCCATCCTTTCCTTGAAAAGTAGAGTAGTAAAATAATTTGCATTTATCCTTTTTTATTAAGACTCGTGTACAGAGCCTCGATTTGTACTGTGGTTTAATTAACTTTGGTCTAAACTATTTTAAACTGTGGTCTAATTATCTCTACTAATCTTACTTATTTCCTATAATAAATGACAAAATAAGAGTAAATAAAATAACCTCATAGTTCCATAGTTTATATTTAACCAGCTGTTAGTTAAAACAAATTATATTGCTCTAAACAAATCGAAGATTACAAAGATTGCTTTAAAAAAATAGTTTGAACATCCTAGTATTTTACTATGTATAATTTAATTAATATGTCATCCTCTTATAGAAGAATTGAACGTATCAGTGATTAGTATTACACATAGTATAAATAAGTCAACCCTAAGTATGTCTTTACATTTTTATCCAAATGCTGAATTTGTGACACAAAAGCTGAATGTTTACAGCTGTTATGTTAAGCACATTATTTTATGACAAAAGCTAGTTTAGAATCTTAGCATCGGCTGCTAGACTTTAAATTAATTAATTAAAAAAATTAAAACTTAATTTCTAAAAAACTGGGACCCTAAACTAAAATTATGGCTTCGACATTCCCTAGTTTTCAAAATTATCTTTCTTTCAACACAAAAATCATGAAAATCCGTCGAGTCTTTGATTCAGAATCGTGAAATAAAAAAACACTGTTTCGTTTTAATATTATAGATTTATTTAATGTGTTTAGAAGGGTTTAAAACATAAATTGGCTACGTACAATTTTTGTAATTTAGCATTATTATTTCTGTAGGCCACTTGGAAAACAACCCATTACTTCAAAATTATACTATATGAAAGTACATAAACCATATAGGGTATGGGTTGGTGTAGTAATCCTTCAGAAAATTTGGTAAAATTGAAATGATCAATATTAAGAATCTATTTTTCATGTGTCTGTACAGAGATTCGATACATTTTGGTATCAACATATCATATCACTATTTTTAGGAAGTAATTAATAAATTGCAGGTTTAAGGATTAGTTTTTAACTTTTTTATTATTTAATCAGTAATATATAAAAATTTAATACTTGTGTCAGGCAATATTACAGCAATCATAATTTTTTTTTCTTAACTGAGAATGCTCTTTACGATAACTAAAATAGCGAGCTGTGTTAGCGCTAAAACAGCATTGCGGGAGTTGGCGCAAAACACGTTGGAATTTTTTTTACTCATGGATTACTCATGAATTTTTTCTGGTTGGCCTGGTGGACACCCTGTTTGTCATGTGCTAAAACTGTTAGCAAAGAGTAAATTTACACAAAAAACAACTATCAGAACTACTTAGGGATTAGGATTATTAATTTGTTTGTATAATGACTATAGGCGTCATTCACCTTTGGATCTTATGATGATTGGAGTGTCCAATCGAAATCGATCACCACTTACCATCTTTTTTGTATATTTACCGTCTTGTGAGTAACAGTATGAGCATAAATGAGTGATAATTTTGAAACATGCGTTTTCAGGAAAAGCACTTTGAAAATTTTTTGTTCCGTTTTTTGAAACTTTAATTATTGTTTTATTTCATTAACATTTTAAGTTTCATAAAATGTCCATGGTAATGTAATATCTTTGGTGATTTATTAATAGAGCATCTTTGATGAAAAAACACAAAATTTTGTCACTCGACCATCACGGACATAAAACTGAATATTAAAAATAGTTATTATTATTTTTATAACTATGTTTTGCTATAAATTAATTTACTTTTAGCGCCATTATACAATAAAGAGCTCAATAAGCTTTTGATATGTTTGGTCTTTCTAGAAAAAAAAAAACTCAAAAAATTGAAAAAAAAACCAATAAAATCATTTTAAGTTTGTATAACTCCGAAAAAACTTACCTGAGACCCGAAAAATTGTTATGTTTTTATAGAGGTGTGCTTCTTTTGTGTATAAAACATTGAAATATGGTGATATTTTAATTTTTGAAATTTTTATGTTAGAAATCATAAACGTGATGGTCAGGGACAAGCGGTACGGTCGTGAATTGTCTGGAACAATCTAAATCTTTCTAAACAATCCTTCAATTATTCTGTAAGTTATAATAAAAATATGTGTTTCAATTGAACTAAACTGTTCAATTTACAATAATATTTAAGTTATTGTCACAACCAAACACAGTATAATCCATAAGGCTGGATTGGTCGTGAAAAAACCCACGATGGTCGTGAAACTTTGCTCAAGACATTACGTGTTATTTGGCTCTGTTCTGGCAGTAGCCCTGCACCTCATGTTCGAGGATACAAAGTGGACTTCTAGGTTAATCTAGCAATTGAAATATCTTATAAACACCATATATACTTCATCAAATGACTGTGTACAGTCATGGACACACCAAAATTACAAAAAACACAAACTTGCCTATTTATTAATCTTGTAATTCACTCTTTCAACTCTAAACGGCCGGCACTACAATCCTGACGTACACTCCAAACTAGTCTGTAAAACCAACTGATTCCATCGACGCCAGGCTTGCCACTGTCGTGCTCCAAAGTTGAAAATTTTTCCCTAATGGTCGTGACGTCAAATCGAGGGACAGACCTATTTAGTTATGGTACAATCAGTTTATAATGAAAACAAAATTATCATATGCTCCTTTTTCGTAAGTTTAATAACAATTGATGTAATAAAAATATGAAATTATGTATTTCGGCATGAATAATTATTCCAAAAACAGCATGAAAGTTGCAAAATGTAGGCCCTACCCTAGGAACACGTGAGGGTCGTGAGTTTTGAGATTTTAAAAATACGAAAAAAATACCTAGAACGTATTTAAAGCCAAATAATTGTGTGTAACATGTTGCCCCCGCCCCAAAAAATATTAAAACACATAATGATAAACTACATATTCAGTATCTACGAAGTAAAAGGCCAGGGATATAAAAACGTACGTTTCAAAGTTTTCACTCAAATATGTGTTTAAGCAAATTTTCATCAAACTTGGTCCAAAATTACTCAAGTTATCATGTTCACGGACGTATCTATATCAGTGGTAAAATAAATTAGCTCGTTTTAGCAATATTAATCCAAGCAATATTTGTGTTGGGACAAGTGGCATCTCCCAGTAGTGTACAGTAGTCAGTTAGTCTGGGCGCGCGGACCCTTGCGTACTAGCCGCGCTGAGAATAACGGCTCGCTCACCCCCACAGCCTCGCTGAACAACCCCAGAGAGCCGTTTGGGCCAGATGTTTTTAGAAATGAGCAATAAACACTCCCCTCTACACCTTCCGCCCTAGCGCAGCCGCGCGCCCAGACTAGCTGCGACTACTGTAACTGCTCTGACTGGTGCTCTAGAAGACTCATCACAGCATGTGGTGGTGTATGTATATTAAAAGATCAGCTTTACATTGTGCAGGCCTGAAGAGTGGAGGTGCCCTGATGAGACATGAGGTAGCGTTTGTGTTGGGACAAGTGGCATCTCCCAGTAGTGTAACTGCTCTGACTGCAGCACTAGGAGACTCATCACAGCATGAAATGGTATTGAATTTATCAAACCTTATAATTATGATTGTTATTAAATTTATTACTTACTATATGGAACATATTTTTGTAACAAATCAGTACTACCATAGCCGCCGTCTAATACAAGGCCGCAGCGAGACAAAATTGGCATCACCGCTGTCCTGTCAAACTGAAACAGCTGTTGCACTAATTTATAATGGACAGTATAGGAAATGTTTATGTTTACGATTTTGTTATTTCTGTTATTACCATGGCAATAGGCATGGCGTTACCACATACCCATGCTGCGGCCTTGTGCTAGTGGAGGCTATGGTTACCACCCCTTAGTGTACAAATAAAATATAAATCAAAACTTAATATTTTTACTGAACTGTAACAATTTATGTTTGATGTTGTGGCTAGTTAAAACAAATTATTTCCAATATTTAGGGATACCCACCAAAATTTGTAATACCTACTTAAAACGGCAAAAAGGGTTAAGCTGTGAATTCATCTACCAAAGATTAAAAGTTGACTGGGCTGCTTTCCTATCCCCATTCATCAAAACTTTCAATGACAGAATTGTAGTTTATTCTCTATGACCTCTTTTAAATCATTGATTCTTCATAATTTTGGATAGAGATGAATCGATACCCAAATTTATTGATTTGTAATACCGACACTGATAGGCCTACCTGACAGATTGATGCCAATTTTTTTGTTTTTTTTGTTTACCAAACCATAATTTTTAGAGAAATGCAACAAAAGATAAGCCAACAGGAACAATGTCATGTACATTATGTTATATCCCCACTTTACATCCTAGGACTCAAAGGCTCTACCCTGGAAATGTTTTACACATTAATTCAGACTAGTTTTAGAGGGTAAAGGCATTATCAATTATCACATAGATAAAATCCATTTGTGATTGGCGGGATATGAACCCGGGATCTCAGGCTTTAAAGCCCGAGCTCTACGACTAGACCAGCTTGCTCCCCTATATCATATGAATGAATATATATATGTCTGAATGAATAAAGCATTCTTGAGTTGTAGGAACAGCTCGACCAGATCTGCATACACTAAAGCAAGAAACACATTAAACTCGGCCATAAGAAGCGCAAAAAAGCGGTACTTCTCAAGTCAATTAAAGAATAAGGACCCAAAACGTTTTTGGTCATCGTTGAGAAGCAATGGCGTACTGGGCTCGATCAGAGAAAATGAGTGTACCTTCTCTCCTGAGGACTTGAATAAATTTTTCTCCACAATGGGCAGCAAAGGTTGTTTAGACAGGAGCAGGATTGAGTTCTACGCTGAGAACCTAAGTAGCCAAGTGAAGAATAAATTTGTCCCTGACTACTGGCATTTTTCCCAGTGCCTGAAAACAGAGTATTATAATTCCGCTATCAAAAAAGACCAATGCTTCATGTGTTTCTGATTTCAGACCCATTTCAATTCTTCCAGTGCTTTCCAAAATATTGGAAAAAGTGATTGGAGAGCCATTAGTCTCGTATCTTGAGTCAGAGGAAATTCTTCCTAAAACACAGTCAGGTTTTCGAAGGGGGTTCAGCACTAGTTCAGTTCTTCTGAATGTCATCGATGAATTGATTTGTGCAAGAGATAGAAATTGGGGTAGTATTGTAACTGGATTGGACTTTTCACAGGCATTCGATTCAGTTAGTTTCGATTTTGTGTTAGCCAAACTGAGTTTTTACCAATTTGATAGTCGATCTGTGCAGTGGTTTTCCTCCTATATCCGTAATAGGTCACAACAAACTCGAGTTAATGATTAGGTTTCACATTTGTCCGGGGTTCCCCAGGGCAGTTGCTTAGGTCCTATCCTCTTCCTGATGTACACTGCCGACCTTGAGTCACAGCTTAGTCACTGCTCTGTCCATTCTTACGCCGACGACTCGCACCTTGTTTTATCTTACCCTTTGGCTGAGTTTCCTGAAGCAGTCACCTGCATGAATAGCGACTTGATAAGTGTTAATAAATGGTCTAATGATCATGGTCTTCAGCTGAATCCTGACAAGTGTTCTGTTTTAAGAATCGTAAACTACTCTGTGCAAAGCCAAGACAACAAGGATACCGATTGTGAAGTTCTTCTAAATGATAAGCCGTTGCCTGTTAGCGATTCATTAAAATTCCTTGGTGTCAAATTGGACTCTAGGCTCAATTTTTCTGAACATGTGAGACACATCTGTAAAACTGTTGTTGCTAAATTACGATTATTTAATAGGTTTAGGTTTGTTCTACCAATGTCAACCAAACTTGAAATAGTTCGTGCTATAATTCTTCCAACTATTTATTATGTTCTTCCCTCTTTTGGTAACAGCCTTACTCAAGAGAATATAAATATTCTCACAAGACTTCAGAACAGTGCTCTGAGATTTGTCTTCAACTTAAAAAGGTCGGATCATGTCAGCGAGTATAGGTCAAGGGCAAACATCTTGACAGTTAAACAATGCTGTGACCTTCAAACCGTTCTCATTGTTCATAAAACTTTGTTAACGGAGTGTCCCCAATACATCAGAAGGAAACTGGTTTTCAGGTCTGAGGTGAGCGTTCGCCTCACTCGGCAGGAAGGCTTGCTACACTTGCCACGGGTCAGAACGGAATTCGGGAAGAAAGCCTATTCTTACTTTGGGCCCCAAGCCTACAATGCCCTTCCAACTGACCTCAAATCAGTAAACCTCTCTAGGTTTAAAAGGGGTTTGAAAGATTTATTTTATGCCAATAATAATTATAGTCCAGGCAAATTAGATCAAATTTAGGGTGTGCTCCCCAAAAAATCGTCTAAAGCTGGAAAGTGTTTTAATACCTTTTGGGGGTCCCAAATAAGACATATTTTCACTTATAACTCCTAAAAAACGAATCCTAAGGAAAATGTTGTTTGAAGGTGTCTTTTAGTGCATTAAATTCTGCGTCGATTGGTGTTAAATACGTCGAAATCGGCCGAGCCGTTTAGCCGCTGTAGCTTTTCAAAGTTGGGATATTTTCATCAACATGGCCAAAAGGTTGATTATTTGACCAGTTTTCGGCTTACAACTCCTAAACGACGCATGCTATACAAAAATGCACCTGTAGTTAGTTAGGAAAACACAAAATTCTGCGTATAATGTTTTTTTTATTAATCAATAACGGCAATTGATTGTTACTTACTTCGTATGGTCGCCATTTCATTGAAAAAAGTATTAAAGTTAAAGCTGGGAAATTTTACTAAAATTGGTAACAACATAGATCCGCCACCATTTAACTTGCCCAAGCGTGCTTCCAATGTAAACGCAGCCTTAAATGGATTATAAATTATTAGATAGTGGTTTATTCCATGATGGTCATCCAGAGGTTTATCTAATAAGGTGTGATGAGAGTAAGACACCCTATGTAATTTTAAGTCCAATATTGTTGTCTGAGGTTCCGAAAATTCTAGGATTCATATCCCAACCACCCATTATATACGATCTATCCCTGTATTCATCTTTCAGATTTTGGCCTACATCCCCTAACGCATGTTATAAAAAAATGTTCCTGTAGTAGTTTCCTGTAGAGCATAAACGTCTGCGTAGAATGTTTTCCAATTCATTAAGATCGGCTTCACCATTTAACCGCTATTGATTGTTAACACTAGATCAGATGCTTGTCAAGTTTCCGAAGTTTAAAATCTTACCATTGAAATCTGGTAAACAACCAGCCTAATTACCAAAAACATAGGGGATATGGCAGTGAATCTATCCACTAGTGTGACGTCATGGATCCTGCAGCATGGCCTATGAACAAGTAAGTGCTCATGAGAGCAACATCTAAAAATAGTAAATTGTTTTGCAAGTGAAATACCTTTGTACTCGACTAAAACAAAAGTGGATGGTTTGGCTTGCTGACCACCTTTTAGCGAATTTCCCATATAGGGAATAAGCTATTACCGTAGTACTCATGGTAAGACCTGGACGCGGGACCGATTTTTTTTTTCGTTTTGAGGTCCCTAGAGGTCAAAAACACCATCCGTTCAAATTCATATATATATATATATATATTTATATATTTATATATTTATATATATATATATATATGTGTCCGTCAGCACGATAACTCGAGCAAAAATGATCCGATTTTGATGAAATTTGGTACAAACGTGTAAACCTACGTTTATTCGAACGAGTTCGCGATCCAGCATGATCGGACCATGGGAACGGGTGTTTACGGGGGGTTTTATGGGGTAAAAATAGGTTTTTCCCATTTTTGACCCAAAAAACATAAAATTTAGCAATTTATTTCCAAACCATTTTGTAGAGCTTCAAAAAACAAATAATTTAGTATATTGAAGCGTTATTATGCGCCTAATGGTTACGGAGAAAATTCCAAAAAATTGTAAATTTAAAATTCCCATGTTATTCTTATGGAGAATGAGTAAACTGTTGTAGTTTGCTTGTTTATAAACATATTTTGATCAAATTTGGAAAATGTTTTTATTTCTTACTAACTATTAACATTTTACAAAAAAAAACAGTTTTACCCTCCCTGATGCAGCAAACCTAAGTACTTGTTAAACTAATTCTATTTAAATCGGGAATAAATGTTATATTTTTAAGTAGACATTTCAGTGTAAATCCAATCAGTCAAATGGAAATTCGCTTAGTCTGCAGGTTTGCTGCGGCGGGGGTATTTTACAGTTTGGATGAATTTTTTGCAGAACATAATTGTTATGGTAAAATTGTTATCTAGTTCTTACTTAGTCCCTAGTTAACTGTTACCTAGTCTTTCAATCACTTTGTTTAAGTATCTTACTTTTTGTTTCTGTATATAGTTCTGTTTTTTTTTTCAAATTATTTTTAACTATTTTCTTGTTGTCTTTGTTATATTTAGTGAAGATTCCATGTTATACTATCTAGAATCGATGGCCCTTTTTGGCACCTTTTAGCGAATTTCCCTATAGGGAAGTAGCTATTACCGTAGGTCTCATGGTAAGACTTAGGCCCGGGACCGGTTTACTTTTTCATTTTGATGTCCCCAGAGGCCAAAAACACCATTCGTTCAAATTTTTATATATGTATATATATATATATATAGATTTATATATATATGTGTCTGTGAACACGATAACTTGAGTAATTTTTTTCCGATTTTGATGAAATTTGGTTTGAAGGTGTAAGGCGGGATAAACTTGAATGAGTTCGCGATCCAGCATGATCGGACCATGGGAACAGGGTTTTATGGGGGGTTTTATGGGGTAAAAATTGGTTTTTCTCACTTTTGACCCTCAAAACACAAAATTTCCCAATTTTTCTCTAAACCTTCTTAAAGAGCTTAAAAAAACAAACAATTCAGTATATCAAAGTGTTTTTGTACGGTTATTGGTTACGGAAAAATCTAAAAAAATTGTAAATTTAAAATTCCCATGTTATTCTTATGGAGAATATTGTAAAATGTTGTAGTTTGCTTGTTTATGGATATCTTTTGATCAAACTTGGCAAATATATTCATTTTCTACTAATCAATAATTATTTTACTTAAAACACACACTTTATTAGTTTCCTTGTAGGAGCAAACCTAGGTACTCGTTAAACCTAATGTTATTTAAATAGATCGATTGAAAATCAATTCAGCCAAATGGAAATTCGCTTAGACGGCAGGTTTGCTGCGGCGGGGGTATTTTTATTAACGAGGTCTATTGTAACATCTGTTATTTAATGACCAATAAATATTTATGATTTATGATTCATCTTACTGTGGAGAGCTTTTCCGAGATAGGGGAATCAATGATGGGGATCCAGCCCGATGGTTCGCTGGCAGGCCCATCGCAGTGAATGCTACCCATCAAATGAAGGGATATTGTGGGATCACCTCTTCAACATATTATCAGCAAGTTGACAATATAAACTCCACGGATACGGTGGGATCAAAAAGAAATTCATCAAATGGTTTCAGTGTCACGACCCATTTACTGAAAATAGTTCGCTCATGTCAATCAGCTCAGCAGTTATCCAATATGATAGCTTCAACGCGAGATATGTATAAAGCATAATGAAAAGGCACAGCTTGCCAGAAAATCGTAAATAGGCAAGCCTATAATGACCATAAACTGTGCAGAATAAAAGGAAGTGGTGACCTTAATTGCGAGCTGTGATGGCACCAGGAAGATTAAAGAAGAATTTGCCCCCCTCAGTCAGCCCGTGATATTCCACAATAAATCCAAGCCTCATTTTTGAATCATACTTTGGATTAAAAATAGGTCCGCACCCACTAGCGCAGTTTGATGAAGAAAGCGTGATGTAGAAAAGTCGAAAATCTATTCATGTAGCCTAAAACTACTCATGCTGTTTACTCCAATCAATGTAGATCTCGCTGTGTTCTGACGGGTTACAACGCTTGGCGAAGTTGCAGAAGCAGGTTGGCCCTATACATGGTTGGGAGCAGAAAATATCCAAATCAAGTGAAGGTTGGTCTCTTCTAGAAGACACTTTCAAACTAATTTTGACATTGATTCTAACAAAAGGGGCTGCTCATCCACCAATCCTTTAGAGCTCATTTAAAAGTGTACTTAATTCAGAGAGATAGGTATGGAAAATTAACGCCAATGGGTTAACTCCCATTGATACGGTTAATCCAACGGTTCGACAAGAGCTTCTCAACTCCGTCTACCTATCTCGACTATCGTGTACATGTTAAAAAAGGTTTACATTATCTTGCTCCTTTTGAAATGCAGGGATATAATGCACTACTGTCTGAAAGACTTAGGGGCACGATTATCTCAATTCTATATCTGACGAAAAAGATGGATGGTACCGAATATCACCATTTGTGGCAAGACCAATAAGAGCAAAGAATGAATTCTTAAGATTCCAATGATGAGAAGTAGAAAACTTATATGGTAAAATCTACGAAAACTCCCAATTGTTTTTTATTATAGGCTAAATACATAGTAAAACTATGTACATCTGTCCCATTATCATATTTCGCTTATTAAGCTAAAAATAAAATTTTTGCTATATTTAATAAAATCTTTCTCGTTGTAATATCTTATTATATATTAGAATTGCTTAACACCCTTTTGGAGTGTCCATAGATGGGATCGTATAAATGGGAGCTTAGAACGAATCCTAGAATTTTTGTAACCCCAGATAACAATATTAGATTTAATATTACATAGGGGGTCTTGCTACCCTTCCCTTCACACATTCTTGGATAAACCTCTGGACGATAACCATGGAATAAACCACTAACTAGTAATTCATAATCATAATTCTACGCCGAATTTTGTGTTTTTCCAAACTAACTACAGGTGCATTTTTGTATAGCATGCGTCGTTTAGGAGTTGTAAGCCGAAAACTGGTCAAATAATCAACCTTTTGCCCATGTTGATGAAAATATCCCAACTTTGAAAAGCTACAGCGGCTAAACGGCTCGGCCGATTTCGACGTATTTAACACCAATCGACGCAGAATTTAATGCACTAAAAGACACCTTCAAACAACATTTTCCTTAGGATTCGTTATTTAAGAGTTATAAGCGAAAAACTGAAAAAAGTGCAAAATTTTCATAGTTTTTCGACTCCCAAAACTTAAGCAGACGTCAGAATCCGTCGCAAACTCACAGGAGTCTTATTTGGGACCCCCAAAAGGTATTAAAACACTTTCCAGCTTTAGACGATTTTTCGGGGAGCATATGTCTAATTTGCCTGGGCTATTAGCCAGTTGATCTAAAATGTATTATTGCAATATGTCTTGTATAAGCTGACCAATTACGTTAAGTGTTTTGACAACAGTTGTATTGAAAAACAAAGAACTGTACTTTGATGCTGGCTCAATAAAGACGTTTTTCATTTCATTTAATTTCATATGGTTGTACTATCATTTAATTCAAATACCCTGCCGCAGCAAACCTGCAGACTAAGCGAATTTCCATTTGCCTGATTGAATTTCCATTAAAATATCTCTCTAAAAAGACATATTCATTCTCAATAGGCCTACCTAAATAACATTAGTTTAACGAGTACTTAGGTTTGCTACTTCAGAGAAGGAAAAAGGTAATTGTAAGTCAAATTTTAATTGTATAGGATAAAATTATGCGTATAGTATAGGATAAAATAATTTTGGAGATAGTAAAAAAAAATTGAATTTGAAATTCCCATGTTATTCTTATGGGGAATAAATAAACTGGTGTAGTTTGCTTGTTTATGGATATATTTTAATAAAATTCGGCAATTTTTGTTTATTTCATACTAAGCTATCAACATTTAAATAACAAACCCACCTCAATACCTTCCCTGTAGCAGCAATCCTAGCTACTCATTAAAATTATTTTTTTAATAGGAATTAAATCTAATAATTTTAAGGAAATATTTTACCAGGGATCCAACCAGGTGTATGGAAATTCTCTTATTCTGCAGGTTTGCTGCGGCAGGCGTATTTAAATTGTTTTATGAGTTAGAACTAGGCTCCAAGGACTCACTATGTTAACATAATTTTATCCTCAAATGATTTATTATAGTCTCTTAACTGTTTTCCTTCCATGTCGTAGGTGAGACATGAGTGTGCTGAGGCTCTAGGGGCTGTGGCCTCGGATGAATGCTTCACAATCCTCAGACAATACTTAACCGATGAGAAGCGAGTCGTTCGAGAGAGTTGTGAAATTGCTCTGGACATGTGCGAGTATGAAAACAGCCCCGAGTTCCAATATGCTAACACACTACTAAAGGTTTGACAAATCAAACATACAAATTGTATACTTTTTTTGTTCAAATAAAAACATTTTTAAAATAAAAGCTTTTTACACTTTACAGCCATATGTTATAACCAGTTTACCTTGTAATTTTTTCGGCTGACTAGATAGTTCTCAATCCATTCCTTGGTAGCTGCATTTCTTCTTTTATACGAATTTCCTTCTAAGAAGCCATTACCGATGACACCGTTGGTGTACCTAAACCTGGGACCAGGTTTACTTTTTTTTATTTTGACGTCCTCTGAAGCCAAAAACACCATTCGTACCAATTTTTCATATACGAATCTCAAATCAACAAGTATTAATAAGGAAATCACAAAATAAAAAGATCGATGCATTAGTAAAAGAACAATTTAAATAATTTATTTTTGTATTTATTTATTTATTATTGAATTATTTCATTCTTTTTAGAGCATTTGAAGTCGGTTGTATTTTTTTACAAAAATAAATTATTTCATGATTTTTAGTGACTGTATAATTTGTTATATATTAATTACTTAAAGTTTTTTGATAAGCAAAACTGTTTGAAACAATCAAAAGTGCCACAGAACAATCATTATTTTAAAACTGCTTGAGTCACCTGTGCAGGTTACATAATCAATGGGCATTAAAAATTTTTGGATTTTCAAAAAAAAAAAGTTGTCCATTACATTAGGCCTAATGAACAACTAAATGTCTTTCCTAGAGACATTGAAATTCCAGACATCATCGTTTCCTGCAATTGGTGTACTTCTACATTATAAAACGAAATACAGTAAGGTCCCAAGAACAATAAGAATTGTTCCAATTTTGGAACAATAAGAAAGTTATTCCTCAGCCACCAGCACTAAAAAATCTCTTAAAAGTAGAAAATTGGTTGTTATCACGTACAGTATAATACCTTTGAAAAATACGTATATGATTAGTTCAGCTAAAAGTGGTGTAAGGGGTAGGTGGTTTTGTTTGCTCAAGATGTAGTCGAAATTGCAAATCAGCTTCCCATTTCCGAAGCAGGCATAACATTATTGACAGTGAAGAATATTAATAAACATTCCACATCTTCAAATGCATGTTTAGTAATTAAAATATTTAACACTTTTAAGACGATTGACGATTATGCAATCTCACACATCTTATGTCGTTTAAGAAATAATCGCATCTAATTTATATTTGGACCTCTTACGAATACTTTGGTTTTCACAATACACCTTAAATTTTCAATATCATACAGCTATTCACTATGTTTTTATAAGTCAGAACATTCAATAGGTACTCAAAACTAAACAAAAAACAAAATAAATGTTGAATATTTGAGGTTTTCAGCATTTTTTACCAAACAAATATTTTTCTTAAACATAATGCTATATATGGTACCAAATAGAAACTCTCCTGGTTATTTTGGTGATGGAACCACGCTGATCGGTAAAAGAATCACAGAGAAATTGGTGAACATACATAGAAAAAAAAACATCGCCACAGACAAATTGAGAACCTCCTCCTTTTGTTGGTAGTGGGGAAGTCGGTTAAAAAGAAGCAATAGTTTGTAGCCATATGTATTTCATCCAAGAGTAATAAACAAAACAAACATTGATTTTTCAGAATAAGAAATTAGCCTTTTAAATAAGGCACCTAATTTTAACTTTCCTAATGATAAAAAATTGTTCTTATAACTTAACTTATAAATGCTGAAACAGCTGCCAAATATTTAGATAGTAACGAATCACAATACGTGATATTTAGATAGTAACGAATCACAATACGTGACAAGAGCAATGATCACAAATAAAGTAAGAAACACAATAAAAAATCCCCGTCCCAGATAGTCGGGGGGCAAACTGTATTCCGTGGGATTTTTTGTGAAGCAAATGTGTGACTATGTGGAATCTCTTTATTATATGACACATAATGGTGTAGTACCGGGTGTTTACCCTCAAATTGCGGGGTTTGGTTTTTATGACGTCGTAAATCCAAGATGGCCGCCATGTGTGACATCTATTCATTAAATTAATAATAACTCTTTTCAGAGTAAAATAATCAAATTTTAATTTACACCATTGAATTCAGCTCAAAAAATCAAACAATTTGGTGTTTTGAATCATTGCTCTATGACCATTGGTTACCGAGATATTGAAGGCGGAAAACACAGAACATTGTCCCCATGTTATCCTTATGGGGAAAAAATAAAATTGTATATCTAGCTTATAACTCAGCATATCTTAATAATAATTGGTATGTGGCTTCATTTAGTGAGATCTACTTGATTATGGCCTAAAATCCCCCATTTTTACATTTCCGTGGCAGCAAACCTGCATACTAACTTCCAATGTTATTCTTATGGACAATTTTTTGCATGCTTGTTCATGAACATACTTTGAGAAATGATGATGTGTGGCTCCATTTTAATTATTTATTGAAGCATTTGTAATTCGTTGAGTATACAGGTCTGCTGCTACGGGTAGGTCTGCTATAAACAAATTATAGGTATTAGAAAATAAAATAAATTAGACTATAGTTGTGAGGCATATGTAATTTTGTAGGATTTTGAATTAAGCAATTGTATGATTGTTGACGATTGATAGGTAATATGGTAATAGGTAACATGTAGAACCGTGTACTACTGAGTATTTTGTCTGAAAGTGTGGCCAAGCTGGTGTTTTCGGTCGCCATCTTGGATCCGCCATATTGGATGTTAATAACTTTTTTATACAATGCTAGTGTTGTGACACATCATTATGAACTAAATTTTCACGCTGATTTCAATGCTGAAATATGTTTTTAAATATATTTTTTCGTTTGGAAGATATATTCAAATAAAAACTCTCCCCATACATTTCTTACGGACGTTTCGTACTTTGAACATTTTTAAGATTATTTTTCTTATATCTCCAGTTCCTATTAACGCTTGCAGTTCGTTCTAGTCTTAAGATATTCAGTGATGTATGAGCTTTCATTTGAGCTATTGATCTTAAAATTCGGTTGAGTTAGAGCGTTAGAGTCGAGCTACGAACCCTAACACAATATTAAATTTAACTTATTACAAATCTGTTTATTTTATTTTATTTGTTAACGGTTGCACCATTTTTACATGAATAATACAATAATCTTACATACGGAAGAAGCAGAAAAATCACAGGCCAGTACAAAAGTAGTGAAAAAAAAAACTGGAAAACAAGACTTCAATACAAGACATAAAAAGAAAAATAACAACTATAAATAACAAACTATAAATAACAAACTATGAATAACAAACTATAAGTAACAACTATAAATAACAAACTATCTGAACAAGTTGACAAAACGAGATATTCGAAAAACAAAACCAGTATAGGAACAATAACAATGATGCAATGCAGTAGCCGAGTGAAACTTCAGTAAAGAGGCAGAACATACTTCATAAAAAACAGATAAAACTTGCAGAAAAATAACAATATGATAAACTCTGTACAAGAACAAGATATAACAATGCAATAACAACAGGATAGACTATATTAACAAAAATAAATAACAATGCAATAAATAGAAAGTTTGGAAATATGCAAAGATTGATGCAGGAGTTCAGCAAAAAAAGAAAAAAAGTTCCGTTGTTATTAAAAGATGTATATCCCGGGTTATTAGTACGTCACTTCCTGGTCTTCCTACAAGTTCTTCCTGGTCTCAAATTACTTGGTTAGTGTTTGATTTTACATTTTATTAATCACTAAATGAAATCTGACTAAGTTATTTTAAAATGAGTCATGAACCATCATTTAACATTAAATTATTTTTATGTCCAAAACTTTCTTTGGTTAAAGACATACAGGGCTAGTCATCAGTGTTACAATTTTTAGACGTGGAACCTTTTAGTCTTATATGCCTCATCACACATAATTTACTTTGTACTTACACCAAACAAATGTTGTAACCCTGATGACCAGCCCTGTATGCCTTTAATTGCTTTAACCAAAGAAACATTTCTAAATAAAAATAATTATTAATGTTAAATAAAGGCCCATGACTCATTTTCAATTAGTCAGATTTCATTTAGTGATTAATAACATTTTAAACCAGACATTTACTGAGTAATTTAAGACTAGAATGAACCTTTTGCCGTATTAACAAACCGAGATATAAATCTTTTAATAAAACTGATTTGGAAAAAGTTAAATTTAATATTGTGTTGTGGTTCATAGCTCAACTCTAACTCGTCCGATTTTAATGATCGATAGCCTAAATAAAAGCCCTTACATCATCCCTGAATACTTTAAGACTATAACGAATTGCAAGCGATAATAAGAACTGGATATATGAGAAAAATAATCAAAGTACAAAACGTCCGTAACTAAAAGATGTATGGGGGGGGGGGGAGTTTTCATTTCAATATATTTTCGAAACGAAAGTTCTACATGTCATTACCTATCAATCGCCAACAATCATACAATTGCTTAATTCAAAATCCTACAAAATTACATATGCCTCACAACTATAGTCTAATTTATTTTATTTTCTAATACCTATAATTTGTTTATAGCAGACCTACCCGTAGCAGCAGACCTGTATACTCAACGAATTACAAATGCTTCAATAAATAATTAAAATGGAGCCACACATCATCATTTCTCAAAGTATGTTCATGAACAAGCATGCAAAAAATTGTCCATAAGAATAACGTTGGAAGTTAGTATGCAGGTTTGCTGCCACGGAAATGTAAAAATGGGGGATTTTAGGCCATAATCAAGTAGATCTCACTAAATGAAGCCACATACCAATTATTATTAAGATATGCTGAGTAATAAGCTAGATATACAATTTTATTTTTTCCCCATAAGGATAACATGGGGACAATGTTCTGTGTTTTCCGCCTTCAATATCTCGGTAACCAATGGTCATAGAGCAATGATTCAAAACACCAAATTGTTTGATTTTTTGAGCTGAATTCAATGGTGTAAATTAAAATTTGATTATTTTACTCTGAAAAGAGTTATTATTAATTTAATGAATAGATGTCACACATGGCGGCCATCTTGGATTTACGACGTCATAAAAACCAAACCCCGCAATTTGAGGGTAAACACCCGGTACTACACCGTTATGTGACATATA